AATTCAGCAGGATTTGTAAGTAATGAAATATCTCTCATTAATTGTCTTATTCAATTATCAGTTAGAAGGATTAGATTCAAATCTTAGTAAATATGCTTTGAATACTATTAAGATACGCTGCAGTAAGCTTATTTTAATTATGCCGAAAATTATAAAAAAAAGAATTGCAAAAATGGTGGTGAACTGATTTCCTTAATATCAATTTATCAAATTCGATTTGCTATAATATGCAAATTGTTGAATAAATGATTGATAATCGAAAAGTTTACAGCATTTATCGAACATTTGGTTTATTTTTTGATAAAAACACGAAGTGCAAAGTCCATCCTATCAAACAGCTATTTAGGCACAATCAAAAGAAGCATTTTAAGCTCTTTGTAAAATTAAGTAAATAATTAATTCTTTTCTCTCTCATCTGTCAGATTAAAAAGTATTTTGGTAATTAGTTTTCGAAATTGTTTGCAAATTTAATGGTAGATAATTGAAATAAAAATATTTAAATCATAATAATGCCAAGAAAGAGCATATTGTTTCACTTGTTGATAATTTTTTCCTAGAAAAATTTTTTTTTATGTAATTTCATATAACAAATTTCAATTTTTGAAATGATTTTATATATGTTATAAATAAAAAATTGTTGACATTGGTAAACAATAAAAAAAAGTTTACCATACATTTTTTTTGCACTCTTTTTTTCGATTTTTTTTATCTTTAAAAAAGGTCTTTCGTTTTTTTTTCTCTGAAAAATAAGTATTCTGTTTAAAGCCATGAAAATAAATCGATATTAACTTGGATGAAATTAAAATGAATAAACAATAAGTGTTGTAAAGAAAAAAAATATTTTAACTGACAAATTAATTTACAATCCTCTTTTTCCCAGTTTCGCATCATTTTTAATCACCATCATCATTATCAGCAGATCAATGGATGATTGCGAAAAACAGAAGCTTTGATTCTCAAAAGCATTTTAAACTATGAAATCATAGTTATTTGCTACTACAGTGATTCATAATTGTAGTGTATCTATCGACTATAATGACAAATATTAATATATGAATTTTTTTCTTTCCATTTGTTTAATTATTTATATTAAACTAAAATAAAAACCATAAATGCAAATTTTGGTTATTTCATTGTTATCTCTAATATTTTTTGCAAATAAATTTAAGGATATATATTGGCTGATTCATTTGAATTTCAGAAATGGTTTGCCGGCATGATTAATTCATTTGAAGTTCAGAAATGCTTTATTGATTTAATTATTTAATACGTTTGAATTTCAGCAATGCTAATTCATTTCATTTTCTTTCAATCAGCTAATTAATTTATTAATTTAATCGACTGAAATTTTACGAACGTCTTTTCCAAGTATTTGAACATTTATGAATACTGTTCGCAAAGAAAATTTACTCATTTCACTTTTTTTTTCCACTAACTAGCAGCTTGTTCCATTTTTTCAGAATTGTTATTCATTTTCTAATTAATCTCAGTAAACGCATAATGGTGCTATTAAACTTAATTTAATTTATAAATTTCGTTTCTTTTTTTTTGTTTTTAATAAAATTAAATTAATGTTTTGCTAAAAAGAACCAATGACTTTGAAGTTAAAAAATCATTGAATTTTTTAAAAAATAATATTTATGGCACAAAAGAAAATGCATGTGATCTGAAAAGAAAAAAGGAAAAAACTGAGATGAAAAAAGAAAGTATTTAAAAAATAAAAGACACAGATGTGTACAGTAATACCGATGATCATAGCAGTAAAAGGATTGAAAGAGTGATAACACGACTGATAAGGAAATTTATCATTCATTGTCTAAAGATTTCTTCATGTTTACTTTCTACTTTCATCCATTATTTCATTTCTTTTTTTTGGTTTTACATGCAATAAAATTCTAAAAAATATTATTTTCTAAACAATAATAATAACGATATTAATAATAATAATAATAGTGATAATAGCAACAGTAATATTTTATTATATGCTAAAACCAGAAATTTATATTATGGAAGTATTTTAATTAACTATAATAAATTATTTAACAACTGTGTTCTAATTAGGAAGGATATTTTAATTAATAATTTTGCTGTTTTTTTTTTTTTTTTGTTGCATAATTTGGATTAAGAAAAGTAAAATGAATTAAAAAGATAGAAAAAAGTGGAAATTATTATCCATCGTGGAAGGAATGTAATTATAGCATTAATTTGTTTACAGAATTTAATAGAAAAGAGAAATGTTATTTTCAACCAAACGGTATTCAGTTCCTTCACAAACAGTCTTAATTTCTGGCCTACATTTCTATAGTGATTTTATCGAGTAGTGTTATTTTCAAATTTCCGAGTTCAAATTATTTCATTGAGTTATATTCATTTTAGGTTTTTCTTTCATGTCTAATTAAATGGAATTCGTAATTTATATATATATATATATATATTTTTTAATGATCTTTATGTGTTAAAATAAAAAGGAAAAGAAAGTTAGGGAAAAAATTACTGAATTTGAACAGAAAAAAGAAGTTGAATATAAAATGAGGAATGATTACACTAAGTAATTAATTAACTAATTAATAGCTAAGTAAACCCTACCATAACTAATCAATAACAATTTGTTGTTTTTTCTTTCTTATCATTCTATTCGTTTTGCCGGAAAATATGCAAAACGAAATGTCAACGAAAGAAAAAATGGCAGAAACAAAAAAAGAAAGAAGGAAAAAGTAAATTTCAAAATGACGAGCAATTTTTTTCGACAATTTAAGATTTAAAGCTTAAATATTTTATGAGTCATTGATGCAAATTTCTAGTACTATTATTGAACTATCAAATGAAATAAACAGGATAAGGAAGGAAATAGATTGAAAAAAGAAAGTTGAAGGGGGCGAGAGAGTTGAATAGAAAGAAAAGAGAAAAATAAGAAAGAAAAAGGAAGGAATTTTAATTTTAAGTTTAACATTTGAAATACATAAATTATCCAATTGCTGTGTATGCATCACAAAAATTTTTTTTAGCTTGCTAACTTTCATTGAAGTTTTTGCACCAATCCTGAAAAATGTTTTCATCTTTGCTACCAAATTTTCTTCCAAATTACTAATTATTAATATTTTTACTGTTATAATTATTGTTATTATTATTACTGTTATTTCTTATCATTATTGTTGTTACAATTATAATTACTATTATATTATTACTAAAATCAACATTATTGTTCTCGCCAGTATTATTACCATCACTTTTTTATTATTGCTATCTGATTTTTTTATTTTGTTCCTAGTTTTCATTTATTATTATTTATTATTTAAAACTTCAACAGTTTTTTTTTTGTTTAAATTGTTGTGCTTATTATTATGTAAAGAAAGTTAAAGCGGAAGAATGAGGTGGTAAGGTGATAAAAGATGCGGGAAGTCGGAGAAAGGTTGAAAGGAAAGATAGAGAATTTGAAGAGTCTGAGGAAAGGTAAGTGAAACAACTGTTTCCGATGATTTTTTCATCTCTCTTTTCTTTTTTTATGTTTATTCATGCTCTCTTATTCGCATTAATTGTTGATATTTATTTCACTTCCTTGTTATTATCATATAAATAAAATTATATTGAAAGATTATTTGCACTAAAATTTATCAAAATTTGATATACTTGATTGATCAACTATTTAGCACTACTGATCTTTGTACCTTTTAATTTTAATAATCATTTAATATTGCTCTCATCATTAATATTATATGATTTACTTGTTTGTATGCAATCAATTTAAATGACAAATATGTTTCTTAATTAACGTATGCATATAATTACTAACAATATTTATGTCATTATAATTCATAATTTTAATACTTTAAAATATTTTTGACTTCAATTTCTTACTTTCTAATTTAATAATAGTCTTAGGAAGTAAATTGTATGTAATATTTATTAAACAAATAGTTTTGTTTCTTCCCCTATAAGACAAAGTTGAAAATTTTTAAATTAATGAAAATAATTTCAGGTATGTTACAAATATCATATTACTTTTGAATTCTATATTCTATTGCATAAATTTAAAACATATTCCATATTATCTTATATTAAATTCATATTAATATTTCAGTTTAATATATCATTGGTCTACATTATGAAATTTGTCACAATTTACATTATTTCATAAAAATTTCGACTAGTTTGAAGGAAATACTTTTTCAACACAATTTCAACACAATTTCTACTTCTGTCATTGTTTACAAATTTTGCGATCAAAGATTATTACTTATAAATATCAAATTATTATTGTTAATGTATCACAACACATTTATATCAAATAAAAATTCCTATCCTATCAAAAAACAATTCTTTTTTATCAAAAATGTACTTTTGTGAGTTTATTTCAACTAATTGAAATATATTAATTTATTTCAAATAATTCAAGTGCACTAAATGTATAATTGCACTAACATTCCATTTCATATTGACTTTTGGACCAATTGTAAAATGTAAATAATCTCCGATGTTAACCTTGGCCTCCATCGATCATCACTAAATTGCTAAAATGTCATCTCTTTCCCAAAACTGATTCCTTACGAAATATCATTTCGATTATATTCCAATTATATTTATTTCATCCTACTCCCGCGCTCTCCGCACTTTATTTCCATATGACAGACAAATAGTTTGCGGCTATTTGAATATATTTATGTGATAATATAATGTATCTATGTACAATTGATTAATATTAAAAAACACTTTGAATATTTGCAATAGCTGAAATTGTACTTAGGTTAATTCACCATTTTTTTATCATATTTTTCTTTTATAGGTATCAGAAATGAATTGCACTGTTAATTTTTTTTTTCCATTCTTTCACAAAATTTATCGAAACTATATATTTTTGGAAAAGTTGCCTAAAATGAAAACAATTAGCTAATTAATATTGTATTATTTGAAGAAAATTTTCGCAATTATTGGAGAGTAATTTGTTAATTAATCTGAAAAAAAATCCATATACAATTATGTAATATAGAATTCAATTACAGATTATGTCATTAACAATTAACAATGTATTTGGATTACTTGGACATACAATTGGATCACATCCTATTCTATTTATAGTTTTATCACTCTCACTTTTCACTGTGTCACTTCTTGGACCATTGCTGAGGTTTTTTGCAAAAATTAAGTAATATTAATAAGAAATTTTTTTCTTTTAATCTAATAATTTTTTTTTTGAAAAATCGGAAGTAATTTATTTGTCCTTTTTCTCACTGTTTTTTTTTCTTTTTTTTTTCTTTTTTTTTACAGATTGGATATAAGAGTGGATATTAAATCAGGTTTTAATCGTGATAACACTGCTTCAGTAGAAGAAATTAATGCTCATAAACAGTTTTTCAATAATACGGTACATTGTTTTTTTTTTTACTTTTTTCAGTAATAGTGCATTATAATTGAGTTATTAACTGACTTAAAATATGGAAAGAATAATTCAATTTTAGTTATTTATATTTCATTTTACTAATAAAAATCATAAAAGTGTAAAGCAATTACAGGTAAAGATAACAGTATTTATTATTATTATTTTATTATATCTCAAAAAAAAAAGTCTATAAGAAGTAAAAATAAAACTATTTAACTTAACAAACTATAGTAGCACAATTAATGTAAGTATGATAAATGAAGCGAATATATAAATATGATAAATAAAGATATCAATGATCAGAACATTGATTTATTACTCGTAGATGAATTTATCAAATCTAATATCACAAACTGCAATCAATTTAACTCAGGTGAAATGAAATGATGTTTTATTTTGATTAAAATATTTATTAAAATTATAGGGTGACCCATGGTACATGGCGCTATTTGCAACAACTAATGGATCTATCTTAGAAACACGGAGAACTGATGAATTAACAACATTTTATAAATATATTACTCAGACAATGCCAGTGAATGTTAACAAATCAACCGTACATTATCAAAATGATTTGTGTGAACCATTTTGTAATTTTAATTCACAACTTTGGAATCTTTTGGTATTTTAATTTACTTTCTGTTCTTTTTTTTATTACTAGGAACAATTATTTTATTTACTATTTACTTAATTTCAATTGTATAACTGATGAATAGAGAAGCAAGAACGGAAAGATAAAACAAAATAATTAATACACTTTGATCTTTAATCTAAGGATAAATGTTTGCAATTTGATTCTTTTTTTTTTTTTTTTTTTTTTGTTAAAAGTTACAGTATTATTGCAGAATTATCAATCATTTTTTAAAATCATTTATCCATTATCAATAGCTGGACCGTATAAAGTAAATATTGGTAGATATCTCTTTAATCGTACCATTAACGAACAAGGTTAATTTTTTTTTTTTTTTTTTTCAATAAATTTCTAAAATTTGAAGTGAATTAATGGCGATTGAAATGAACTGATAAATGAAATTTTGAACTATAAAAGATTTTTTAACGATAATATTGATATTGAATTATCGAACGTTTCATTCAATTTTCAGTATTTACTGCTAACAAGCTATATCTATACGTATTAAGTAATGAATTCTTGAATTCATTTCCTTTCATTTCTTTGTCCTGTCATTTAATAATAATGTGATAAATTTTTATATATATTTAACAACATTTCACAATTAATTTTTTATTGTCACATAAATACTTTAAAAATCTCATTTAACTGATAAATGCCATCAGTTAAAATATAAAGAAACTGATTGTGGGAATATATGGGAATATATTTTTGCCCAGTTTTGATGAATGAAAATTTGTAGACTTTTAATACGCTTATAACTGATAATTTAATTAAGCATAATTATTTAATAATTCGTTTATTTTTGAGATAAAATAATTACTAATTATTTTCTTTTCTTGTTTTTTTTTTTTTTTCAATTTAATTTAACATTTATAGGTATTGTAATTGGTGTTGGCACTGTTGCAATATATTTTACAACATTTATCACTGACAGCATTAAGCAAAAACAGTTGGATGTCTTTGAAGAACAAGTTTTAAGGTCTTTTTTTTCTTTCCTTTTTGTGGTAACTACAGTTATTTGTTTTTTTTTTGTTTTTTTTCTAATGAAAAACAGAATAAATAAATTAGTTACACATTCTACTTTTGTTTATCATTTGCGAAATTAAAATTCTAAATTTATCAAAATCATAAAAAACCAACAGATGACTGGTTGTAATTTTAATTATCAATTCATACTTCCGTTAAATTTTTAGTTGCAAATATTTGTCTCCGTTTCAGTTTGTGATAAGATAAGAAAGTAGTAAACATATTTATCGCAATAAATGCAAAAATTTGAACTTCTATCAAAAATCTGATAAAATTGGATTGGAAAAAAAAAAAAGGAAAGATGAATATTTCAGAGAAGTATACAATCACAATGCCAATCCAAATAGTACAATAACATTAATCTTACATGGAGCGCATACAGTAAGCGGTGAAATACGCCGAGGCATACAATTAGTGCTTCCTTATTATTTTACAGGTATTTTTTTAACTTTTTTCTTTTCTCACCGATAGATAATGAGAAAAGAATTTGGTTTTAAGGATTAACCTTTTTTTTTTTTTTTTTCAAGAAGAAGTAAGTATTGAATTCTGTAATGATTTGAATTGGATGATGATACTATTAGATAAATCAAATTTAAACAGAAATTGATATCATTAAAAAATTCAGTTATAACTCAAATAGATAATGATATCACTAGATGATTTGATTACACTTTAAGTAGGTAGTTGGTAGTGATATCACTGGACAGATGTGATTTAAATAAGATTATCGAGTGATTTTGTTATCAAAACAATCTTTCCTTATCTTTTCAGGAGCTGTATTATTAATCGCATTTGTTGTTATAAGTTTAGTTTTGGCATCATTATGTCATTCATTTCCAATGCGACATTTACAACTTATTTTACCATTCGCAGCAATTATTTCACCAATTCTAGCAGCTATATCAGCCATTGGTTTAATACTTTTAGCTGGTTATCATATCAATATGCTTATTCTCATATCACCATTTCTAACATTAGCCACAGGTATAGGTAAGCCATATTGTACGCTTTGCTTTTCCTATGCTTTGCCAAATTTAGTCATTTACAATTAGTAGTCAAATTATAGATCAAAAGAAAAATAAGCATTATAAGTAAATGCAAACGAAATTGTATAAAACTTTTTTTTCGCTCTTTTTTTGTTTTTCATTTAAAAGCATAAATTTGAATATTGTGACAAGAAAGACAAGCAAGATTTTATTAATTTAATGAATTTCCACTGATTTATTTATTGAAATATATATATATAACTGTAATTATTAAGTTTATTTAGTAGTACTAACGATAAATTATTTAGTTTACTTAGTAGTATTAACATTATTTCTTATTCGCTATCCTAAATTTAATCGCTCTCTTTTAATCGTCTTCTTTTTTATTTATTTACATATTTTTTACATGGATTTAACAGAGATTAAAACAAATGTACTTCATTTTTTATTTCTGTTTTATATTTATTATAGTATTAATGTTAATATATTTTTTACTTCTGTTCTATATTCATCAGAATTATTAACGTTAATAATAATTATTCAGTATTCAGCAATAATTTGAACTAATCAATTAATTGTTTGTTTGTTTTACAACTAATTGCTGCATGTTCCGGGTATTTATAATTGGAAAATGTAATGTAATATTTAATTTATCTTAACTATTCTTTTAATCTATCAATTTGTCTCCTTTGCTTTTTTTTTTTATTTCTAACCAATTCTTATGCTTGTTTTAGTTTTTATTTTGGGACTAATCCTATATTGCTTATTATTTTGCTTTATTATCATGTCTCACCTCTCCAAATTTTATGCTAATTTCAATCCAATGCTTGAACATATTAGCATTATCAATTTTTCAATAGAAACCCTCTTTTTTATTTCCTAAACTTTTGCATTCGTGTACAAAAGAAGCCTTTTTTTTACACAGTTATATAAAAAGCCTTCTTTTTTTTTCTTTTTTCTTTTTTTGCTTTTACATATTTACAAAAAAGCCTTTTACATATTTATATATTATCGGACGTTTAAAGTTTAAATTTCAAGAATTAATTTTAAGGTGTCGATGATGCATTTCTATTAACAAATACATGGCTCAAATCAACAGCAATGCCGCATGCACTGACAACTGCTGAAAGGTGATTTGATGAAATTTAAAATTTTCAATTTTTTACACTAAATATTTTAGCCTCTTTTTTTCAATTAAATTTTAGGCTAATAGGAAAATTTCTTTTTTTAAATAGCACTACTGCAAAAAAGTATTTCAGGTTGCAGTTAGTCTTGGAAAAGGTTGGAATAGGCATAACGGTTACTTCATTAACAAATTCTCTTGGATTTGCATTGGGTTGTATAGCACCAGCACCTGAAATGCAAATTTTTTGCGCCACAGTATCACTTTCCATGTTTCTTGATTTGTTATTCCAAGTGAGTAGATTTTTTGAAATTAAAAATATTCCGAAATAAGAAAAAAAATCTAAAATAAATATTAATTGTGCTTTCAAATTTAATTTCAACAGCAAAATATGCAGAATAAAAAAAAAAAAAAATACGTACATATTAAACTCCAACACTTCGTTTTTTTTTTTTTTTTTTCAGTGATTATAAAAATATGATCCATCAAAAATTTTCTCGAATTTCATGATTTATTAATTTACGATTATGACTTTTAAGCTTTTCTTCTATTCGCCGCTTCAAGTAATATTATCTCATGATGAACCTAAAATCGTCTACAAACAAATTAAGCGAGATCAACCAACATTATTTGAACGAATGAAGCAAAATGTTACTTCGCTTTGTAAATGTAAGAAAGTTTAATTTAAAATTTTCAACTAAAAGTAATTTGTTCTCCATTCATTGCAAGTCACTCATATTTTTTCAACAAATTTTCTTTTTTATTTATATTTTATGCTGTTTTCATTAAGTACCAATAATTTGCCAATTTTCTGAACAAAAGAAATAAATTCTGCACATTTGTTTACCTATTTGTATTGCAGAAAAAATCCATGCGGAAAAAAGTGCTAAATAATCTAATAACTTTATCAAAGTAAAGCTATATCATATCAATATTAATGAACAATATCCATTCATCCAACAGTTTAATCGTTTTAATAAAACTTTAATATATTTACCTTAATATACTCACATTAATTACCTTCATAAGCATAAAATTGACAAGTATTTCAGCTGTGTAATAAAATCAATTAATCTGAAATTAACTGAATCAACATGAATTAGAAACGAGAAGTTCAAATGAACATTTTGGAAAATTTATCGACGCTAAATAGAAGAATTACAGATATTATTCATAAATAAGATTGATAAGATAAAATAGAAAAGAATAGTGGAAATGAAATTGATCAATGATAGATTAAAGAACAGACGAATGATAAAAAGGAAATCGTTAATAAAAAATATTGCAAATGCTATTACAGTTTTTGAATCTTACTTATGATAACAGTATGTTTAATGTGAATTTGATAAACATAGCATATATGACATATATGAACAATTCTTTATTCATTACAGATTATCGATATAATCGTATTATTATTTAATATAAAATGAATGGGAAGTTATGAAGAAAATAATGTGAGAAAAATATTAGTTTAATAAATATTAATATGTTACACGATATAATTGTAACACAATACAATATAACAGAGTATAACATAATTGCAATATAATTGTAATGTAATAACAATATAATATGTAACACAATAGTATAATATAATATAATATAATATAATATAATATAATATAATATAATATAATATAATATAATATAATATAATATAATATAATATATAATATAATGTAATATAGTATATAATATGTAATGTATTTGTGGAAGTAATCAAACCATGTGATAGTCTTATATTTCAGTCTTTCTCTCTTCTCTCTGTTATATTTCATCTCTCTTTACGAAACTTCAATCATTTATTTGTAAGATTGTTTAGCACATTTTTTTTTTCTCTCATTATTTACGATACGAAAAGGCAATTAATGAAGTAATTAATTATTTGTCAGTCTTCTTTATTCCTTGACAATTTCATTACTGTACCCAAAAGTGAATTTTCATTCTATTCTTTTCACTATTTAGATTACAGTGAATTCATTGCATCAGTTTGGGCAACATTTATTACTATTGCATTATTAATTGCATATTATTATTTTGCAATAACCGGCATGCAGGCAATGGATGCAAACGTTGATGGCAAAATGCTTTTGCCACCAGATTCGCAGAGTGTTGATGGAATTCGAATAATGGATGAAATTGTTAGTTGAAATTAATTTTTGCAATTCAAATATTTGAAATATACGTAGAAATTTCTTATCTCTTTTTTGTCTAATTGTGTTTTTGTCCTAATTTTCTCTTGCTTTATCTTTGCTTTATCGAATTGTGGCGTTAAAATAATTTCTAACTTGCTAGTTGATAATTAAAATTGCATTGTATTGTTTTATTAGATACGAAATTATGCATGAATTTTTAATTTTTTCTTTCATTGTAAGTTTCAATGTAATCATTTTTAAAATTTTAAAGATGCAAAAACAGGAAATGTACTACAGATTTGGCCAGATTATTTGAGTATCAATTATATTATGCGGAATCCACCAAATTTCTCTAATCCTACTGAATTTCGCAACTTTACGGTAAACAAATTTTTTGACATTTTTTTGAAGAAAAGTATTCAAAGTGTTGGATAACTTTTTAATAAAATAACTTAAACTTAGTTCCAAAACATTTAATTCTTCTTAATTTTTTGTTTTTAGCAATTGAATAGAAAATCACAACTTATACTGCAGTTAAAAATTGACTAATGTTGTATCGAATTTAGATTAGTGGAAGCGAATTTAAAAAAAAAAAAAAAAAAAAAAAACTGAATTGAACTGAAAAGATTAGATTAATTAAAGAATGAAATTAAATTATGAAGAAGGTAAACTGGACTCAAGTGTTCCAAACTAACTTTTCTTAAATTGAACCAAAAAAACTATTTTAATTTTTCTTTGAAATTTTGATGGTTTAATTTTTAATAATTTTTTAGCTAATGGTTAAAGAAATGGAGAAATCAAAAAATTCATTAGGTTCAGCTGCAACAATGCATTGGGTAAAAGATTATTTACGATATCTTGCTAATCCGCATGCTACCAAACTTGACGTTTTCTTTGGAATTTCTGGTGTAGAAGCTAATGGAACAGCTTATATGGAAAATGGTTCATTATTTATTTCTTTTAAATCAAAAAAAGAAATATATTTATTTTGATATTGAGTTTCTTTTATTAAAGAATATTATTATATTTAGCTGCTGATTAACTTGCTAACTAATTAACTGGTTCAATATTATATCACCAAATTAAACAATTAAAATTAAATTCATTTTGCATACGAAGTGATCCATTTATTTGTTGGACTTTTTATTTCATTTTATTAGTGAAATGAAAAAAAAAAAATTTTTTTTTTTTGTTTTTTAGGTTTGGATATGTCACAGTTTGATTTTTTCATCAATACCGAACCATACACAGCATGGAAATTAGGCACTCGATACATGAGAGATACACAAAATAGGTTGGAATTCGAAAACTGTTTAATGCGAATAGAATTTGACGATTAAAAATTGAAATACATATTTAATCAAATGCAGTAAGCGAATAAGCAACGTAAACTGTTTTGAGTTTTTCATTTTTTTTTTTTTTTTTTTTTTTTCATTTTCAAGCTAGCAATAATCATTATCATTTACCTTTTCTTCTAATATCATTGATTAGTATTAGCATGCATAACATGAATACAATGAATGATGATAAGAAATCATGATCATGATAGGAATGATAGCGATAGTAATATTTCTTAATCTTCTATCATCATTTTTATTACAGATATAAAAAGTAATAAATATTTTCTTTCTTTTTTTTAAACAAACACTTCTAATTTTTTATTTTTTTATAAAAGGATGGAAGCATATAACAACATTTGATAAATTGTCTTTTTCGCTGTTAAAGGATTGTGATAACATCGATGCTACTGATAATGGGTTATAATGGTACATCATCATTATCTGATAAAGCAAAATTATTACGTTCATGCCGTGAAATATGTACACGTTATGCGCAATATGATATGATACCATTTGATACAGATGCGGAATTAGTTGATGTTATATTAGCTGTACCTTCAACTACTATTAAGTAAATTCTTAATTTCTTATCTTTTATTATTATCCGTGCATATGACGAAATACTAAACATTTAATTGTAATTGTATTCCGAATAGTATGAAATTAATTGCTATTTAAAAAGCTTTAAAAGCAAAAAGGGAAGAAAAAAAATATCTGAAATAACAAAAAAACTTAAAAAAATTTATCCTGAAGAAAATTAATACTAAATAAAAACATTTATTAAGACATAATATTAGTGAAGGGTAGTTTTTTTTTTTTTTTTTTTTTTTTTTTTTTTTTTTTGCTAATATCGTTAAACTTTAATGAAAATAACTTTTTCAGTACGGTATTTTTTACGTTTGGCGCAATAGGTGTAGTATGCTTTATTTTTTCCTTCAATATTGGAGCGTCTATTCTTGCTATCTTATCAGTTGTGTCAATCAGTACAGGTAAATTATTTTTTACTAAAGTTATTTTCAAATATACATGTTCTTGTATGTTGCAAATTAAGAAAAAAGCTATTGCAAACGTTTAAGTCGGCACCAAAATTGTAATCTCCTATTATAGATTGTCATCTTTAATAAACAAATTTTTTTTCTTTGCTTACTTATTTCAATTCCAATACAAATTGATTGTATATATCACCAAATTCATAAACTAAATACTTGAAAGTGAATGATTTCAGTTTTTTTCAGTAAATGCTACCATTTTATTTTAAGGTGTTATTGGTTTCTTGCAATATTGGAATTGCTTTTTGGATCCAATATTAATGGTAGCTATATTAATAACAGCTGGCTTAAGTATTGATTATACCGTACATATCATTTTCCATTATGTGATAAATGATTACACTGATAATGTTCAACGAATTAACACTTCGCTTGAAGCCTGTGCCTTATCAATGTTACAAGTAATTAACTGCCAAGATGATTTGATTTTAACTTTTTTTTCGCTAAAATTTTTTTCTAATTTTATATTTCTATTTGGCTTTTTCTTTTTCTCAAAAATTTTTAAGCTGATAAAGATCAAAATTACATGTTTATTTCACGTTGATTGACTGATTGATTGTTTGATTAGGATAAAGTAATATAATTTTAAAAAATATGATCGAATGCATTTCGAATTAATTGCATTTAATGTTCTGCGCAACTAATTTATTTATGTAAAATCATTATAGTTTAATTTAATAAAGATCGAATAAAAATATCTCAGCAAATTATTTATACATTTAAAGTGTACTTGCTAAGGTTATGTCTAATTTCTGATTTTATAAAATCTATATCTATTGTTTTTCATGTTAATAACACTTTGGTTGAGATATAGAATTTTAAATAACTTTTATTTTTTTCCAATAAGAAATAAAGAAAAAAAAAAATGGAAATTTCAGGCTGGTATATCAACATTTCTTATCATGTTCCCGGTATTATTTGCTCCTATAGGAATTTATGCTGTAATATCGAAAGCAATCATACTTACAGTAATATTTGGTTTACTGCATGGTTTATTTATTGTTCCTGTATTGCTTACTGCCCTGCCTAATTGTTTTGCTAAGTGTTTGCCTAATTGCTGCATCAAACATTAATTGCTTGTCATTTCATTTCCAATATGTTTGTTAAACATTCCTATAAATAATGACAATATGCAGGATTCTATTTATCATATTTTAGTCATTTATTTTAAAAACAGATAAAACTAGGGATTTAATATCGCTCTTTTAAAAAAATAATTAATTTCTTTACTAAAAATATGAATTCCTTTATTTTTGTTGATTACAATATTGTATAGAGTTTCTTTTTTTTATTGAAAAATATTTTTGAAAATCTTCAAAAATCAATTTTGTAAATTGGATTTATCTTTTTTTGTTCTTCGTATCCGCTTTTTCAATATTTTTAGTGTAATTTTAAACTTTACTTGACGTTATTATGTGCATTTCCAATTATTTTACTGATAGGATTTATCGAAAAAAAAAACTGCAAAAATCCAATAATTTTGGTTTTCGTATTAATATCAAATTATTTCCTATTCTTTTAAAAATTCATTACTTTCTTTTTTACTTTGCAACGCACAATCATTATAATCTAATATTTTGAACATCCATTATGGAGTTATTAATTAATTGATTAATTATCAATGTATATGTTATTCATTCCTCTCTTTTTTTTTTTTTTTTTTTGCTTTTTTATAATTTTCTCATCGTTTTCCAATGTGCCATATATTTTCTTTCGTTGTTTTTAATGTCTTAATTTTGCATCTCATTTAAATATCTGAAAGACAATGGAAATGCTTTCTTTATAAATCTCACCATTTTTTGGTGACAAATGACACTTATTCACTGCTCAAATATGTATACATATATGTGCGCTATTGATTTATTGATTTTGCTTATTGATTCGATTGAATTCAGGAAATTTTGGCATTTAATTTTGTTCGTTTCTTTTACACTTTCTTATTTAATAACTTATATGAAGGAGACTTGCAAAAAATAATTGCATAAACTTATATATCTGACTCAAAAATTAAATAATTATTCGAATTGCTACATTCAAGGACTAAAACCTGTTTTACACTGAGCCAATTTTTCTAATCATTCTAATTTTGATTGTGTATTCAGTGATTTACATGTATTATTGGACCATTCAGATAGATTGGAAGTTAACATTGCTATAGCAATTCATGAAATAAATGATTTGCTTTTTTTTTTTTTTTAATTTTTTTTTTTTTCTAAAATAATATCAAATATAATTTTCACTAAATTTTTATTCCTTTTCGTCTATCTCTTTATTTGCTTATGTTCATACAAAAAAGAAAGAAAATCGGTAATAATTTGCATCCTCAAATGTTACATTTTTCAACGCCGAAAGAGTAAAAAGATTTTGCTTTCTAATATTTTTTGCAATTTTTTCAACAGTTACATTATTTTTTCCTATTCTTTCGGAGGAAATGAATTACCAGATGTTTGATTTTTTTATAATAAAGTGTTATTCTATCTAAAAAAAATAATGAATATGTAAAAATATCAATAATGCTAATTTAGTAAAATAAGAATTTAAGCAGAAATAATTAAACTTATCTGTATTAATCAAATTAATAGAATTAAGGACTAAATGAAAAAATTGAATTTGAAACTTAGATAAAATTTATGCCTTTGCTAATTAATTTGATTTAGTATCAAACTTAAAATATTTTGAAATGAAATTCGGAATATTTTAAATTAGAAATGAATTAAAAAAGAGGAGTAACTCAATGATTATTAGTCTTCAAATAATTTACTAATTTTCTAATATTAAATGAAATTAGCTATGCTGTATACATGACGAAAGTGCCTTAAAACCTTTATTTTTTTTGAAAATGAATTGAACATATAACAAAATTTTATGACATTTTTTCACTTAAAAATCGGATAAAAATAGGAAATGTTTCATAAAATGTCGGTTTTTATAACATCTATCAAAAACTTTATTGTATTTCTTCAAACATAATAACAATGAACAAGAAGGAAGCAATGATAAAAAAATTTTAACTGAAATGCTACATTCATTATAAAGCTGGTGGAGTATGGTAAGTAAAGTCATAGGTGTTGGCTAATTTTTCCAGAATTCTCCTGAAACTTTTTTTTTTTTACCCAATGCGGTAAATCAATTCATTTCATTTCACAAATAATTATAAAAATATATTTCAACTATGTATGTGCACATGCAAGTAAGGGAGGAAAAAAAAATAAATGTTTTTTAATTGAAAACTGAACTGAAATATTCTATTAAGCAGTTATCAGTGATTCGAAATATTGTTGACAATACCGTATATGTACGGCGGATTACTGTAGTTGCAATCGTGCTCATAGATTGACTACAGTAAATTCATATGTTAAACACAGAATCATAATTTGGTGACCATTTCAACAACATCATTTACCGCTTGTTTAATTGCAATGATTGATTCCTTGATTTCGTTATTGATTTCGTTCGTTAGCTAAAATTTTCAAATATCAAAATTTAACATAATTAACTTTTGTCTCATATCAGAGAAATATAAATATTACAATAAAACATCTGGATATAATAAATAGACGCATGAAATAAATATTGTGAACGATTATGTTTTTTAGTTTTATAAGTAACAACAAGTAAACACAGGTAAATGAGAAAAAAAATTTTAATGGCTTAATGAATTATATTTTGTTAAAAATTTCACTGAAATAATTACTTATTTCATATAGTTCAGAATTATTTTAATTAAGTCATGGATTCAAATATTCAAATATCAATAACAAATGAATCAGTACTGTGTGAGATCCACACTTAAGTATCTTTGCTAACGAAAAAACTTTATTACGATGTTTTGCTTTATATATATGAATTAAATGCAGAATGATATACAAACTACCAATTGCAGTATTTATTTATTTATTTTTTGTAATAGAATGAGAATATTTACATCCGAGTGATACTGTATTGGAAGATAAAATCGGCACATCAATGGATATAAATGCTCGGTAGAACTATCAATTAATGAACGCAACTGATCAAGCAAATCATACTGATAGTAATTTTGTATTACATCCAATCCATTAATTGTTTCATCTTGTTCACACATATTTCGTATTAATTCTTTCTGAAAGTGATCAACTATACAAGCACATGTGTAATTCAAAAAGAAAATTTAATTCTTTTGTTTTTGTTTCGATTTATTTTTTAATCATCCTAACTTAACATTTAATCTAAGTACATTTTTTAATAATTTGATAAGATTAGTAATGAACAAATATCATGGATTTACTTAGTATTATTCTATTATGCTATCATTATCACTACCGATGTTTGTTATCACTACCACTACCAAAATTATTATTATTATTTATTAACATTTTAATTATTTAATTATTATTATTATTGCTAATATCATTTTATTATTTAATTATTATCAATTATTATTACTATTATCATTGTCAGTATCATTGTTAGTACCATTTTTACTTCACTGTTACTACTATTATTGTTCCATTAATAAAGAACATATATAAACTTAATGATGCGCAATTTCAGTTAATCTAATACTTCATCATTTGCTGTATCAATAAACACCAATGAAAAATAATTTGTTTATATTTGCAGCATAAATTGGATGGTCATTGCACAATCAAAGCGCAAATTAAAATCGACATAAGGAAATTATATTAGTTATGTGCTAATTTTTTTTTTTAACTTTTTCGTTTTAATCGATAAAAAGATAAAAAGAATAAAAAGGTTAAAACTTTTCATTAAGTTTACAAATTTTAATTATTCAATTTTATTATGTTGCTTAAAATAATATGTCATTTTTTGATATCAGTTCTATTTTCCATTATTTTTATATTTTTATTATCATGGATTCAAATGAATAAAAAAGGAAACATAAAAAGTTTACTCGACACTCCAAATGACAGATCTGAAAAGCGCATTGTTTATTCAATTGCCAATATTGATAAATTTCAGCTAAATTAGCGGCTACTTCATAAAGGTATGATTTTTCATTCCCTTTTGTTGGATTTCGTCGTGCAATATGACGACATATTTCATTACACTCGTTATGTGCACCTGTGCTAGTTAAGCTGAAAAGATTTCGTAAATTGATCACTTGAAAATTATGTTGTTTTAATATTCTAACAACAGTAAATAGCATGGAAAAAGATACCGAAAAAGAAAGAAAACGACGAAATGATTAAATATATATTTAAATTTAGAAAATTCTCGTAAATGATAGACAATTTGCAATTTTCAGAAACAATCAAATATATTTTGTGAAATTAACATTTTGTACTGCATTCTGGAGAAAAACAAATTGAAAATATTAAGAATTTTCTTTTTTTCCCCATTTTTTCTTTCCTTTCTATAAATAGGTCAACAAGGAAGTGAATAAGTGTAAGATTTAGGTAATTTTATAAGGTAAATGAATGCATTTTTCTTACTTGAAATTTTATAAATTTTTTAAAAAGTTAAAAAAAAATGTTTGAAAATTTCATAAGATGAAATTTATTAGATAAGAAAGAGTGAGAAAAAAAGGAGACAAACTTACTTCAAACAATTAAGTGCATTTTCAAATTGCAATCTTTTAAAGGTGCAAATATGTAAATCACTGCTCCACGATATTTGTTTATGATTCATTTTACATTGCATATTCCAACATGCTAATTTGTGTTCCGTTATATTGCAAAATGTATAAAAATTATCAAATGATGCGGTGATTAATTCATCTAATGGAAATTCATAAAATTCTTCATCATAATTCTTTTGGAAATGCATCTGTAAAGAAACTTTGAATTTAAATTAGGAGAAAAAAAAGAAAAAAGAAGGAAAAAAAATGAGGAGTGGAAGGATGAATGAATGGAACCGTACAGTTTAATGTAGATCAAATAGAAAGTAATAAGAAATAAATAGAATTTAAAAATGGTTCTATGTTTTTTTAAATCAAATCTAATGAATGGGTCAGTGATGGAAATGATTGATTGGCTAAAATGCTAAGTAATCGATTTGCTTTCTTTGCGCTTAGTGATTACAAGTGATGGTTTACAAATAAAAGCAATAGATTTAAAAGAAAAAAAAAATAAGAGGATAGAGCAAATAAAAAAAGTCAAAAGTTTTTGAAGCAGAATTTAGGAGAAAATTTATGGCATAAATTAGGAAATTATTGTTTGTTGCAAAAGACAACATTCTTGGTCTAATATTATTGACTAAAAAATTGCTTTTTTTTAAGAAAAAAATTTAATCATTTTTAATGTTTACCACATATCTTATTGCATTTTGAGGAAATTAAAGTTTTAGCTAAGAAAAAATGGAAAATTTTTCGTTTTTTTTTTTTTTTTTTTTTTTAAATATTTTGGATATGGACAGAAGCATTTTATTCTAACAAATTCAATTTAAAACAGTGAAAATAGTAAATAAATTCATTTTAGCGCATAAATGATTACTCATATGATGAGATGACAAACAGTGAATGATTTAATTTTCATGTTCCATAAATAATTCAGTTACAGCACAAAACTTCGCAAATTCAAGTTTTAATTTTCTTAATTCTGATCTTTTCCATTTAATATTGCATATATTTGTTATACCAAAATTAGATCAAATAAAAAAATTTGGTCTTTTTTCTTTTGAAAAAAGTTTTTGTGCAACTTCACAACTTATATTCGAGTTCTTTTTTTTTTGCCTTCAATTGAGCAGCAATGCAATAATTTATAAATAAAACTAACATGAAAATCACTTTTCCATTGTGCATCACATTGAGCCTTACATTTGGTTAACTCGTGCTCACTTGTACCACGGCGAATGCTACTAGTGTTATTGCTATTATCATTATCATTATCATTGTTATCACTACTATCACTACCACTATTATTATCAACAATCCTTTTCAGATAATCACCATTTTGGTGAATATTTCCTGTTAAATGCAAATTGCAGCATTGTTGTATTGTTGAATTTTCATTGACATATGCCGTTATTGATGCTAGCACTACAAATAAATGATTAATAAACTTATAAATTTTTCAAGTTTCAAAATAAATTCAAATTTTCTGGCATTTTCCATTCTTATCTAATTATTTATCTATTAGAAATTGTTCTTTTGCTTGCTTATGATTAAAATATTTATTAATCTTTTGCGAAATTTCGACTAAAATATTAAATTACTAAATATTCTGCGTCATTCAATCATCCATTCATCATCTGAAACAGTTTAAGTTACTTATTATATTTATAATTTGTGTTTTCCTTTCCATTTTGCAATCAACAAGATTGCAGTGTCATTTTAAAGATAACATTTTGAAATGAGAAAAAATATATACAAAATATATACTCATTATTTAGCAAAAACAAAAGAAAAAACAAACCAGCAGATATAGTTGTTACAAAATTCAATTCCATCGTTACCCAATGTTTTCTTTCTAAATATTTAAGTGAAATTTGACAAATTCAAACGATTGGTTGGATAAGAAAAGTAAATTACAAAGAAGTAATTAGTATTACTTGGAGATATTGACCAATTATTTATTGCAGCATTGTGATGTTAATACTTTGCATCTTACGGATTTTTTTCCTTTTTTTTTTTTTTTTTTTTTTTTGTTTCACTACAGTGAGAAATGTTTAAATATATTTGAAGCATAATTATGCTCAATTACGATTCTAGCAAAACAGTAGGAAGGAAATCAGTTAAAAAAATTTAGTAAGATTTAAAACATATAAAATGACAAAAGGACATATTTTTAGGAAAAAGATTCATAATATAAATAATTTTCAATCCCTGAATGGTTGAAATGTTTGGACTAAATTGAATAAATATGAAATAAAATAGTGAAATGGATGGAACGGTGGATCGTTATTATCATTACATCTATTATTATTAGAACTATTATTATTACTATAAATATCAATAATAATATTATTAACATTATTATCATCACCAACATTGCTACAATTACTATTTTAAAAAAATTCAATATGCTTAAAATGTACAGAAAACAAATATATTATTTATCAAATATAAAAATGATTTGATTCCTTGTGATTAAAAGAGTTATGCAAAAAACAAAAACAAAAACAAAAACAAAAAAAAAAAAAAATGCAAAATAAAATACTGCTCACAAATGAGTTATAAAAAAAAATAAACAAACATAGGAAAAACAAAAATAAGCAAATAACAAAAAATTTCTTGTACATTAAACGACTTTCCATCAAATAATGCGAGAGCAACGAATAAGATGGTAAAAGAATAAAAAGAAAGGAAAAAAAAGTTAAAATGAAAAGGCGGAAGAGGAGAAAGAAGAAAGAGGAGGAGGAGATATTCGGAATTTTGAAGTAATCAAATGTCAATATCATGTTAAATTTTTCTACATAATAAGGCAAAAAAATTGCTATATATCATAATTATTTTGCAAATATCCATTGGATGTTATAATAAATAATAGTAGTAGCAATAGTAACAAATAATAATTTTGATAATAATAATAGCGAATAATAATGATAATGATAGTGATAATAATAATAATAACAATAATAGTAACTAAATAAATTACTTCATCCTTAATTTGTGTGATAATTGAAGCGCTTTTCGTAGCACTTTTTAATACATGAGAATATTTAAGCGAATACTATTCTTTTTCATTTCATTATTAATTTATTATTGAGCATTGATCCTCCTTGTATGTGCAGAAATAACAACAATAAAAATTTTTTCTTTTTAATTTGATAACCATTTATTGCTTACAGTAACTGTTTTTCCCATTTTCATTTGTTTTTCTTTTTCATTCGTTTTTATTTTCAAGAATGAATGAAAAAATAAAAAGGGAAAAATTTATTAAAACAAAAAAGGAGAAAAAAAGTTGTAATATTGGAAGACGTAGGTGGGAGGTAATCAAAAATGAATCAAATTATTTATTATTTGATTCATTTTTGATCAATTAACTTTTTTAATTAACTTTGTACTTAATTAATTTAAAACTTAACTGCTTTCTGTGACTTATAATGAAGTAATAAAAAGTTAGCGTACAAACGAAGTGATAATGAGCGATGATTAGTAGTAGTAAGTAATATTTAACTGATTTGAAAAGGCACAATTTAAGATAAAATAAATATACTAATTGAATTGATAATCGAATCGTTCATTTCCAATGTGAATACTGAAGGTATATGATTTAGCTGAATACTTTATATATAAGTGATTATTTTTAACTTTTGAAAACTAATTTTACAAATAGCAAAACTTTCAACTCTTCTTAAATAAAGGATTCACATTTAGCAGTTATAGATTTTGTATTAGTACTTGAATATTTTATTTTATTACTGAAATACTGCAAAAGAATTCGCAATATTGGAATGTGTATTAAAATGTGTGGAAGTAAAATGTGAAATCAGAAGTGATTAAATTGCGACGAATAAAAAGTAAATTTGTTTATTGGTTAAAAAAGAGAGTAACAAAGATTTGGCCATGAAATTAATAATGTTAATAGCTGCATTGAACATACCTATTGACCAGAAAATTTTTTCTTTTCTAATAAAATGTCCTTAACCATTTATGAAATGTCATCATTTTGCTGTTCAATTTATTTTGTGAATTTTTAAATATTAAATTAACAAAATGCTTATTTTATCAAATACGGAAAAACAAAACCGAAAATTTGCATGATTACAGTTCAAGCCGTTCCGGTTCATTATGATTATTACGTCCATTAAATACATCATTACTGTTATTCATGAAATTATTTTTAGTCAACTTTCGGAAATGTTGTGAATTGCGGAATTCGGCAAACAATGTAAAAAGTACATGAAGTGATTGAATTCGAGATTTTTGCACAGGTATGTCTAATAATGCCAAACAAATATCAACATAATCTTCCAGTGAAACATCCAATGCTGCGCTTGGTAACTGCAAAATAATAAATAATATTGGTTAAATTCATTTCATCTTATTGTTATTTTATATAATATTATGCATACGAAATAAAAATTAATTTAAAAGTTCCAAAAATTTCTAATGAATTAAATAAAATTATATAATTAAAATAAAAGTGTTATAACGTTAACATTACAGAATCTGTTAGGATAACAAAAGCAGTAAAATGATATACTTTCAGGGAAAATGAAAATCCATCTTTAGTGACAATGCTAGAATGAGTAAACAAGGAAACAAAAAAGAAAAAATGCTGGGACAAAAACAACAAAAACAATAACAACGGCAATAATATGGCTTATTTCGGAATATAATAGCAATAATATGGTCTAGCTTCTAAATTTGAGCTTATTTTCTTAACCATTTAGAGCTGAAGCATTTATTTATTCAGTTACCAATAGATCAAATGACTTTTATCAGATTATCATTCCGATAGTCTAACAACAATTAACCAAATGTTATAACCACCTGTTCATTTTTTAGCAAATTCTCCACTTCAGTTGGCCATTCTTGCATTAAATGTTCAACATTTGGCATCGGTTTGGTATATATTACAATATCAGCTGGTTTAGTTCGATGTATTTCCTAAAAGGAAAAAGCAAGAAAAAATTTATAATTTTATTAATTTTAGTTTAATAATCTAAATTAATTCCTTTTTTCCTTTTCTTTCAATTTAGACTTTGATTGAAAATATTTTTTAAAAAAAATGAATCAAGATTACATTTATAACTAAAAAATTATAGTACTAAAAAACCTTAATACTACTTATCCAATGTTCAATTTCTTCAATATTTTCATCAGCTCGTTCCAATTTTTTCACCGGTATATCCTTTGCTAGTGTATTTGTACAATGTTTTAATTCGTTACGTATTTTCAAATTTAAAATAATGGGATCGCTTTGTTCCAGTGCTGGCTCATCCAACACTACCAAACCCAAATCATCTTCCATCTGTACAATAAATCAACTTCTAATCATAAAAGCTTATTAAGAAAATTTTTTCTCAAGGACATCATTTCTGATTTAAATGATTGTAAATTCTACAGTTTATGTTATCATTTCTATTAACATTAGAGAAAAAAATTACTTTAATTAAAAAAAAAAAAAAATGGCAAAAGTTTATGAAACTTACAAACAGAGGTTGCTAATTCCAAAAGTAAGTTATTAATTAAACATCTAAATAGCATATGAATAAATTTTCAATGCTAATTAACAATCTACTGCAATATGTATTGATTTGAATAAAGAAAAATTAAATAGTTTACTTACAAAAATTTATCAAAATTTATAAAGTTTGCAAAGGAAGAATAAATTCATTGTTTTTAAAAAGGGCTTATTAAATTATAACTTATTTTTAAGCTATTATTCGGTGCACTCATAATTTAAATTATAAAAAAAAAAAAAATACAGAATTATTAAAGTGTAAAAAGTATCTAAAATTCCAATAATACCGAAAATTAATTATAATTATTGTTAAAATGAATTAAAAATAACAATAAAGATTCAACAATGCCGTTAATTATATAAAAATTATATAAATTTTTTCACGATTTCTAAAACTATGAAATAGCAAGCAAGAGATGAGTCAACAAAAAAAAAAAAAAAAAATTAATTGAAAAGTAGAAAAAAGAAAATGAAATAGAAAATAAAAAAGAAAAAAAAATAGAAAATGAAAATTTGACCTCATCTGGTCGTGGTATTTTTATAAATGCATCAACGTCACCAACAGCTGGTATATAATCCACAAGAAATGGTTTTAAAATTGGCTCAATATGTATCATTTTTGCATTATATGAATCGATGTATGACAATAATTCTTCTTCATCAGTGCCAAAATATGTAAGTAAATTTGCACCTAAAATTATTGGTTTTTTTTTTTTTTTATTCATTTTTTTTTTTAATTGAAAATTTAACTTTTTAATACAGAAAAAAAAAAAAAAACAAAAGTTTAAAAGAAATTTATATCAAAAGTAAGATAACTTTTTCGTCCTTTTTCCATTAAAACATTTTGAATTTTTTAATGAAAAAAAAAAAATGAAAAATGAAAAAATTATCAAAAACATTGAGTGTGAAAAAATTAGCATAACTGATTTGATCGCAAATTTATTTATTACTACGATAGCATTTATTATTGGCTTTTTTCCTTTTTCAAAAATGATTAGAAAACAAGCTTTGACGTTTAATTTTCCATTCACAAAAGGACTGAAATTTCTTAACATCATTTTCTGGTGTTGTAATATCACTAGTAGCATTTGCAGTTGCAACAGTGGTCATTGCCGCCAAATCATTGGCACCATGAATCATTGCACCAATAGCGCTCGTATCTTCAATATTTTAAAATGACCGTCAATTATAATAGACATACATCCTAATTGAGCGTTACACTATTTAAGTGTACCATAATTTTTTCCCTTAATTCAATAGTACTTTACTAATATTTTCATGTTTTGACATTTACTGAACTGAAAGTACTTCATTTTTTATCACTTGAAAATGATAATTTCTTTTTCGAACTATCTTCATCGATAGGATAAGCTGGCAATGATTCTGTCAAATCTTCCATTGACCTATTTTTTTATTTTTTCTTCAAAAATTTCAAATACTTTAATAATTATTATAATTAAGAAATAAAAAAAAAATTAAATATTAAGAATTTATCAAAAAATTAAATCATTTTTATGATCAACAAATTTCCATTATTTATTTATTTATTTTTTTTGCCCTCTTCCAGCTCTCTCTCATTCAACACAAAAAGTACATTAACAAGATGAAATTTTTGCAAAAATTTACACAAAAAACACATAAATTATTTATTTAATTACAATTAGACATAATGTATTTATTTAATTACACCTATTTGTTTAATTATAATTATATTTAATCATATTCATATAGTTATCATTTTATATTCATATATAATCGTTATTCCTTGTATTTTTCATTCCAAAGTGTGAATTGCAAAATAACTTTTTTACTTCTTGTTACAAAATAATGAATGGAAATTGTGATACCTGCGACAAAATTACTTTCGCCATCTGATGCAAGTGCATTTTCTTTAGCAAACTGAAACAATACACCTAATACATCTAGACGAATAACTTATATTATTAAATTTTATTAAATTTTATTAAATTACTTATGTTATTAAATTTTATTTCATTAAATTCAAAATCAAACAAAAAAAACTATTCAAAATGGGTAATTTCCTTCCAGAAAAACTTCATAATTGCTAGTAATTTAAGCAGATATTTAATAACTATGGTTTTAATTTAATGTTTGCCAAACAATTATTTAAATTTCAAACAATACCTGAACTTGTTGATTTTGTGCTGAATGTGAAACTTTTTGGCTTGCACCTTGAAATAGAAAATTTATTAAATTACATTTGATTATTCTGCGAAACAATCCAAATAATATTTTTTTTTCTCGAGTTGCATAAGTTAGTTGACATTATTTTACAATCTTCATATCATGAAGAACCTATTACTTATATGAAATACTGCATAAAGTTTGCTAATTATCTCCATTGTTTGTCATAAGCTATTATTTTTAAAAATTAAAAGGAAAAACTTTTTACCAAAAAGAAAAAAAAAATTATTTGGTTCAAAAAAGAGAGAAAAGCGTTAAAAAGAGCATAAAATTAAACTTTTCAGCCAGTCTATCGAGAAGTTTATTTTTCATATCAAACATTACTTAATGATAAATCGATTTCAGATTCATCGGTTGATTTTGATTCTTCGCTCACTGCTATTTCTAAAAAACTTCGTCACGTAATAAAACATGGAATAATTTAAAATGATAATGCAATTAAATTACAAAATATGAAGTGAAAGACAACATACTTGACAAATAATTATTTATGATTAATACATGAATTAATTAAATCTTAAAAATATCATATCGTCTCAAAAAAAGAATTTCTAAATTCATTCATTTCATATGAGATGGAACAGTGAAATCTTCAAAATTTGTAAGTTTACTTAATTGAATCCATCAATATATCTAACAATAATTGAAACAAAATCGCCTAATTATTTTTTTCCTTTCCAAATGGGAAAATAATTGAAATTAAACTTACTTTTGTTCATTGTTATCTTTCTTTCTTTCGTTGCTTATTAAAAATCAAATGTATACAATCAATTTCCGATTTTCCGTTTCCTTACAATTTCTTAATTACAATATAATTTCGTCTTAAAAGAAGGCAAACTTTTTTTTTCTTGTAAATAATTCAATTTTGTAACACAATTTGTCGTTTACTCCAACATTTTTCATCGAATTTGTTGTAGTTCGCACTTTAAGCAAATGTAGCTTAATTAATTAGATTTATGAATAATACACTATTATTTTGCTGCTAAAGAATTTGAAGTGGTACTTTTCCAATTTCTTAATAAATGAATGAATAGGTGGAAATGTTAAGAGTGAACTCAGGAACTATTGTATGAAATTGAATACTTGAAATTTTGATTGAATTGATTAGCAATTTAAGTAAGTAAAGAAAACTGATAGAAGATTCTGTGACAAACTTCATTGTTTTATGGCTTATCACATCGATCAATCATTTATGTGACTAATCAAATTAATATGTCATTGTTCGTTTTGTCGAAAAGGAACTCTGTTTGTGGTGAATCAAACTGAAACCTTATTGTATTACACATTGATGATAAGCTTGCTGTGCTTGCATATGAGTGAGACAGGCCTTAGTGTTTTGTTTTCCTGTGATGAGACAAGTCCTAGCACTTTGCTTGCTTGTAATGGGACATGCTTCAGTCCATTTACCAGACACTGAAATTATCAGGCCTTTTTTCATTTTTCATTCCTTAATTGTTTAGTTTTATAAAATGAAACAATACTTTGGTTATCTTAACGAAATAAATATAGAAATTATTTTCCCCAAATATTTCAATTTAATTCCTGCAAATAATAAATTTAATACTGAAAATCAGACTGCTAATTTTAATTGCTTTCCAGCGCTGATTACATGTCGCAGAAGAAATGACAATTTTCACATTTTACAAGTCCAATAATTCGGAGAGTGCTACTTTAACTATATTAATAATGGCAAAGAGATAATTAGGGTTATTTATTTTATTTCAAACTTATACTCAAATAAAACTTGAAATTTTAATCTTATCCTTGCCACCTTTGTAATTTTAATTTTCCCCCTATTTGTTTTGAAATTTTACATAGCACTCATCAGGTGTGATAAAGCAATGATTATTTGAGGGAAAAGATATGTTAAGAAAGAAAGGAAGACAGGGAGGCAAAACAAAGAGAAAGAGATAAAGAAAGAGAAAGAGAAGGCATGTCTGTCCAGAAAATGTCAGCAAATTTCCAATGGAATAAAATAAAATAAACAACAAAATTTTAACAATAAACAAAGAATTTATTGTTTGGAAATTTTCGTAAAGATGATAACAATACAAGGAATGAATCATATCAATGTATGATTGATTAATGCGATAAATATGTTATTTGAAATGAAATGATGAAATTGATTGAAGTGTAATGGCAATTCCTTTATAATATACTAGATATATTGCATAAAATAAGAAATTTGAAAATTAGAAATTGTTCTGTTCTCCTTTCCAAAAAAAAAAAAAGAAAAAAAGAAAATAAAATCGAAAAGCATTTAAATGTCCATTTTTTGCCTTTTTTTTTGAGTGATTTTCGTCCTTTAATATTAGCAGAGAGAATACAAGTGCATAAAAGCAAAAAAAAGTTATACTATCAAATAATTTGTGTCTATTTTAGCAATCTTTAAAATGAATCAGGTAAAAAAAGAAGGATTTTTAACCGCTTCTATTGCTTCATTTTATTCATTTATTGATTAAATTAATGTTTTGGAATCAATTGGTCTATAAAACTGCAAAAATGCAATAAATAAGCCAAATAATTCCCTAAATGAAATAATGAAATTAATTAAAAAATGAAATAATATTGAAATTAATAAATTGTTGTACAAAAGAAAAATCACAAAACTATGATTTGGAATGAACGGATTTACAAATCTGCAGAAATGCTATAAATAAGCTGAATAATTCGTCTAACTGAAATTGTTATCCGATAATTCGATAATGTATTTATTCCTCGTTGCTATTAACAACCAATCCATTTAAAGAGTACTTTTCTTGGCTAATATTTATCCAATAAGTACTTTTTCTTGGCCAACATTCATCTAATAGTAATAAAGCCAAGTAGATTAATAAAAATGTCAATCAGAGAATCGAAAGACTATCCATTCTTGTTCATTAAAATTAGTTATTGATAAATAGTGTCAGTTAATGGAAAATGAAATAAAGCCAATAGTTGTAGTTATTGACTATTATGCTAAACACGAACTACGAAATTATGATTATTAGGTTTAAATATTTTAAATGATTTGGCTTAAATATTTTAAATTAATACCGTACTATTAATTTTCGCATACACTATTAATTTTCGGCAAGAAAACTCAACATATCAGCTGATTTTATTTGATTCATAATCAGTTGAATGATCAACCTTTGCTTGTAAAATCATCGATTAGATTACCAACTTTTGATCATAACAGCGTCTGATCTCTTTTTTTTAAATATGGAAAAACTAGGATTAAATTAGTTTATCTTTTAAATTATGTTGCTTGAAACTGATATGAGAAAATCCGTTATGAGTAATATCAAAATAAAAAGGCAATCAATTAGTAATTTTCTTTCAAAATGAAAGAAATATTGATAGAAAAGTAAATGACTAATTATTGAGTAATAGAAATAAAATAAAAATGGCGAAAAAAAAAAAAAAAAAAGAAACAGAAATTAACATTATAAATAGAACAGTTTTCACACTGAACAGCAACAACGGCAAAAAATTATTCCGGCAGTGATAGCAAAGATAAATTCGCATAAAATTGATTAATGCTGATATAATATTTAACATATTAAAAAAAAAAAAGGAAAGTGTAAGCAAAACTTAATAATAATGATGTAAAAATATAACTGCGCTATTTTAGATATTACTCATATTAAATGCTTAATCTATTCCTGAAATACAGTTATCCAGTTAAAAAGAACTATGCAGAAATATTTAAATTATTAAATTTACATCATCATTCTCAACAATCATCAAACAGAACAGATTACTGAAAGATTTGCAAATATAAAAAAAAAAAAAAATTCGATTTTTTGATGCTAAATAAATGATCGAAATATTTTGATACAAGGAATAAGCAGACAAGAGTAAAAAAGCATGAAATAGTAAGATATATTTATTGGAAATAATACAGGAATTATCCTTGAATCAAAATAGTATGTGCTGAAAAAATGACCGGAGAAGTAACCGGATCGAAACCGGTTGTCTTTTTTAAAAGAATATTCTGTTATGCTATACGTAATGTAAACAAATTATTTATGATGATAAATTTATTTGGAAAGAATAATTGTCACAAAGTTATAATGAACAACAATTAGTACTGATTATTTATATTATCAACAAAATTGTATAATGAAATGCAAATACTCCATTTGTAATCACTATTTTAAATCTCAAATTTCAATCAGAAATTTGAGATTTACTTTATTTAACCACAAGAAAAGAAAAAAATGGATTCATATTTTAGATGGTGAAATATTTCCATAATTAAATTTTAGATATTTTTTTAGGTATAAATAGAAGAGAAAAAAAATTTTTTATCGTAAAAAAAAATAATATTCATTTTAAAAAGAGTCATTTTGTTGCAACAGCTTAATAATCGTTTTCCTCTCCTAAAAAATCAAGAAAACAAATTTTGAACAGTTTCAATTTTCGAAAGAAACCAAGTTGAAAGATGATTACAATTACTATTAAACAACAGCATAAAAAAAAAAAAAAAAAAAATATTCGTATTAAAATTTTTGTGTACTTTAGCAAGTATTATAATTTGTTTTAATCGCACAGGTTATTATCGTTGTTGTTTACTGTTTCTTCTGTTACAGTTGTTGTTGTTGTTGCTGCTGTTTTTACTGTTTGTTATTATAATACGCTGCTATATTCATCGTTATTAAAAACTTTATTAATTCCATTGCCATTTGACGATCTTTTTTCTCTTTTATCTTTAAATTATCTTTGCGATGCTGTCGCATAAATTTGATGACAAGCGATCATACCCGTTTTAGTATCACGAACCAATTCGATGAGTTCCTTTTTTGATAGATTATTAATTGGATGGTCGAATAATCGAGCTGTTATAACTAATGGAATTCTCTGAAAATAAGTGATATAACTTTTTTTTTAAGAAAAATGTATGAATAATTTCAAAAGAAAAAAGGCATCTAACATTATCACATATTTTTAACTCAGTTTTAATGTTAATCTTATAATATGAATATATTTGCTCATTTGAATATCAATATGAACATTTAATATGTATTAGCGCTAACAAAAATTGTTTAATGTATTTCAGATGCACAACTTTTGTAAAGTTTTAAATACAAAAATTTTTAGTATTTCGAAAGAAAAAATAAAGAGAAAAAAGTAGCGGATAAAAAGCTATAACATCAATGAAAAAGTAAGATAATAATAAAAGACAGAGATAATAATAATAATGAATTATTATTATTATTTTTTTTTTTGATAATGCAGAATTTTAAAGTGAAAGGTAAATAAATAATAAATAAAGAATAAACATTACTCCAGCACGTGCACGGCTTGTTACAAACAAGTTCCAAAGTTGTTCCGCACGGCTTTTATTCTGCAAACAAAAATAATGATTAAATATAGCAAAAAGGGTTGAAAAGAACAAGTTAAGCAAAAGGGAAGAAATAAAAAAATGGTTCCGCTAAATCTATTTTTTATAAAAGTATTATCCTTCACAACATCGAACAAAGAAATTTCTTTTTCTTTTTAGTCACTCCATGAAAGTCACTTTTTTCCTGCATAAATTATTTTGTCCTTTCGCTTTTCACACAACTTGCAGAAAGTAATACTTATGTGAACTTCAAAAAAAAAAAGAAAAATTTGATGGATTGCAAGAAGATTGTGACAGAGGTGACAAAGAATATGTAATATCATAAACTGACATATTTTTTTATCTTTTGAGTTTTTAACACCGAGAGATATTGTTATTTGTGTCAAAATATCAGTGAAAAACCGTACGTCTTCATATTATATTTAAGATTAGATTATTCATGAATTTTTCATTATATTTGCAAATCCAAATTACTTATAAATTTACTAAAATGTCGAACTGCAAGATTTAGCACGATATTAAATTTAACACATCTATTATTATGTGCCTACATTTAAATCGGTCAAAAACTTTTTACTGTTATTAATTTAATATCATGTGAATTAAGGATAAAGTGAGAAGCAAAATGATTTAAAAAAGAATTTTTTAAACTAGTTGGAAAGAGAACTGAAAACTCTGCTTTATCATTGAACTTGTAATAATACTAGTATGGGTTTAATTTATTTGAAACCTATTAAATTCAATTATAACACTACAACTCTGTTCTTTCTTATCGCTTCCACATTTTTACGATTTTTATGCTATCGAAAAAGCAAAATATTATTAACAGTTATTCATCATCCACCTAACCTTATTTTACTCTTAATTAGAATTATTATTAGCGATTTTTCCAAGACGAAATATTTCGTTAAACTTATCAGTGACTAATATTCAACAAAAATACTTTTTTCTATATCACACAATCATTCGCTCTCTCTATCTCTCTTTATCTTCCTCTTCATCTTATTGAAACAAAATTCTCAAAGACGAAAAGAAAAAAATTAACCCAGTCCCTCTTTTTAGTGGTAACCAATGATATAAAACAAAAATGATTAGAAAATTCAATAACAAAATTCGAAGTTTTCTATGAGAAATGTTCATGACTCATTTCCGCTGATTTAAGTATGAAAAATTTCCATCAAACTGCGAAATTACATAAATCAATCGTAATTTTGTCTCAAAATTTTCATCCCATAAATCGGTCACGACAGATTAATTAAAAAATATAGTCTTGAAAATTGGCGAAGAGCACATTACAGCACTTATTATCATTAATAAAAACAATGTTAACAATTAATAATTTATTATTAGTACTAGCAATGCTAATAATAAATAATTAGTATTAATAATAATAACAACAGTAATAATAAATAATAATATTAATAATAATAAAAGCTTAAGTGAAGTATAGCCATAATAGACTAATTTGTTGTTATTAATAATTAGTCGCGTTAATTATAACTAATAATGCTTTTCTTTTTTGAATATTGATGTAATACTTCAAGAACTAGTATTCTCTTTGTTCTTTTACGTTTGACCCGTGTTTATGTACACAGAGTTGTGGCATTTTATTGCAAAATACGCTACCGGTTTTTTTTTATGTAGCAAAAATTACTGCGCTAAAGTTTAAATAACGCTTCACAAATTTTTCTTTTAACTTCTCTTTTGTGTTTATCATTTGAATCTAAACAAACAAAATAAATATAACATCACAGTAATAGTAAAATATCGAGTGTAAATTAACCAGCTAATATAATAAATTAAAAAATAAATTATTATTAATTACCTGATCTAAGAATGGAAGTAATTCATCTTTGGTTGGCAAGCATACACGCAATGACAAATTTTTATATTTACCAGGCGCTATACCATCTTCATCACACTTTGCCGCTTGATCTTTTTCAAGGATTTGTACAAAATTTTTAAATGCACCACCCATACTTTTGCATATATCACAGTAAACACTGTAATGAAACAAGATGAACATGTAATTATTGCTAAAACAGTAATTTTAAGTAAACGATGCTTTTCATTCTTTAATTTTGTTTCTAGAAGTTTGAAAATTTTTCACTATTTCAACCAAACTTATTTGATAATAATTCAAAGACAATAAGCTTGCGAAGATGACTGAATTTATATTTAACACTTAGTTAGTAATTAAATCGGTGAAGCAAATGATTAACAATGAAATTAACAATAAAATCTATGAAACTGCATGAAACAATAATAATAATAAGATTATCATTAGAACAGTACGAAATGATAAAATAGTATAGTTTAAGAAATCAGTACATATATATATATATATACTTATGTTTGTAATTTCTTGTATCTTTACCATATTATATCATCATGTATATAATTAGCTAATTTGCATTTTAAATGTGCAAATAATTACAAATAGAAACTTTTAAATTTAACAAACCATGAGCCTACACCACCACAACCGTAAGGATCTGCATTAATGCATCGTTCTGCTTTACCATGAATGCCAATTTTTGTCTCCAAATGTATGTAATATTTAGCAGAACCATTAAGACCTGGTGGATATACCTGTAATTATAAATGTGAGCTTTCATTCATATGATTCAATTTCAGAAATTTTTTCAATTTGGGACTGTTTACTCTATAATTTGTATCATAAAAATTAGTTACTTTACATTTAATTTATTTGCAAAACTTTAAGTAAATGATAAAAAGACTTGCAAAATTCGTATGCTTTAATTTTTACTTTAATTTGATTCTTTAGCATTTATAACAATTTCAGGAGCCTACCGCAAATAATAAGCATTAAATTGTCTTTTTCTTTTTTTCGTTTCTGTATATGGAAATTTTAATATTTAAATGTAGTTGCTATTTAATTATAAATTTAATTATGAATTATAAATTTGGAATTTAAGCACAAAAAGGATTAGAATTCCTTCCTTTCTACATGTAATATAGTAGTAACAGCAAAATTAATTTTTGAGTAATAATTAGTTTTGATGATAATTAACGAAACTAACGAATCAATTAAAAGAGAAAAAAAAAAATCTTTTGGCTATTTCTTTCTAGTAGGAAAAATTGAAAACAAAACATGACAAATGAAAAGAAAGCGCAAAAGAAAGTCAAACCTCAACTTCACCGCCACTCATTCGAAAGCACTCATGACCAAAGGAATTTTTTTCAGCTGTAAATTTCACACCATCTGATTTATAGCTTGGAAATTTTATTCGTAGGTTTTCTTTAGTTGGACCTGAAAAAATGAGTTGATTCTTTAATAAGCTAAGTAATCAAATTTAAAAATTTTCTCATACTTTTTATTTATACACTTCCACCGGTTTTTACAGCGAAATTTAATCCTGTATTGCTGAAATGATTGTAATTGATTAAACAATAACATGCAAGGAAAAAAGTTCTTAATTAAAAATTCAATGTAATCAAAATTTGAGTTATTACTTTTCTACCTTTGCTATATATGCTAATAATTCTAATTTTAATACTTATTGTCTTTTGTATTTGCATCACTAATTATTTGTGTGCTATTAAAAATAATTTCGAATTAATAAACTTTATTCTTTTTTGTATATAATATATATAAAATTAAACGAATGCATGCATTAGAAAATTTTTTAAAATGCAAAATTTTTCCATTTTTAACTTTGAATTTGTTGGAGAAAAAATCTAATAACAGTTGAATTTCTGGATTTAAAAGAAAAGGAAGGAGAAAACGGATGTATTCAAAATAAATTAGATAACGAATTTTGTCGCTTAGAAATAGATTTGTTTTGATTAATGGTCATAAAAAGAAAATTATCGAAGCAAATAAAACTGGTTTTCTTTTCGTTTTAAAATTTCCGAATCTTCTCAGCTATATCAACAACCTCCACAAAATTGTACAATGACAATCAATTTTCCACTAATTATGAGACAACATTAATATTTAAAAAAAAAATGTTATGAATGTTGCTGAATAAAATATAAGTTTCAGTTATTCTATCAATTTTGCTATAATTAAAAATTGATAATGATTAATTGTGTTCTAATGGTATGTATATAATATATAAAATTATTAATATAATTTCGCCCAGTTTCATTTTCTTTATTTTTAACTTGTTTTATTTTTAATTTTTTATTATTTCAAAATTGTATTAACCAATTCAACGACACATTTTCATCGCTTTTATGAATACATCTCAAATATTTAATTGAAAAAGAGAAAAGTGAAAAAAAAATTTTGTTGCTATGCATAAAATGACAACATTTTATATTGAGTGAAGATATACATAATATTAAAAAGAAATGATGAAAAATTGACAAACTAATAAATGAATAAATAAATAATTCCAAAGCTTTCTTTCGCCAACATGTCTTAACCTATATGTCAATGAAAAAAAAAAATGTAGTAAAAATTAGGAGACAATAAATTTTTGTTTAAAATTTTTTCAGATTCATTTCTTTTATTCAGAATTTGTTCAGTTTGATATTGCAACCTCGTTATGATGTTTAAGAAGTTTTATAAGAGCTAAAACAAAAGGTTTTTTTTTTTTGTTTTTTGTTTTTTGAAAGAGGACAGACAGATCAGTATAACAAAATTAAATTTGAAATGTCTTCATGCTGTTTTGTTTATCCCGTAAACAGACTCAGCATGTAAACATTTTAACATCAAGAAAATGCATAATACTAAATGACAAATTAGATAGTCAAGGAATGTCTCGAAAATTATTTCGATCATCTAATCATAAAAATTTACTTCACAGTTCCATCTTATAAATTTTCACATTTACTTTTATTTGACATAATTCATCATCCATTAATGCTGACAAATGTCAACAGTACAAAAAAAAAAGAAATTACTGAAATGAATTTAGATGTTTTAAAACTGACCACTTACATGGATGACTTATATATTATATAAAAGAAAGAAAACGGATTGATTATATCATTATGCTACCTTCAGGAAAATTTATATGAAAATAAAGATATTGGTCAGTTCACAGTTATATCATATATCTAAATAATTTAAATACAATAATTTCAATTTTTGATTTTATTCCTAAATGTAGCAGTATGTTAAATACATTTGCTATAGTTTTTTTTTTTTTTCTAAAACTTTTTTATAAATTTAATTTTAGATTATATTTATTTTTTTAAAGTATCTTAGCAAATATATACTAATATGTTTAAATGTCTCTTTTTTAAAAAGAAAAGAACACTACCTGTATTAGAAGAACATGGAAAATGTCGTCCAATTTCTACCGATAATTCACCCCGTTTTGGTTTAGTGGCATAAGATATACCTGCAGCAATAGAAAGTATCAAAATATACATATTTGGTTGCCATTTTACAACCAAATGTGACGACATGATAGCACTTATTTGTCGTTGCTGCAAAAGAAAAAGCAAAAGGAAAGAGAAGAAAAAATAAAAACAAAAATTAAATCGCTATCATAACATTTCAAAAACTTTTATCAATATTCTCCGTCAACTTTTTTTGTTCAAATTATTAAACAAATGAAATTATAATACTTTTATAACATAATCAATTAATTTGACAAAAAGAAAACAAATGACACAAACGATGGATATTTATTGAAATGATAATAACAATCAGTAATTAGGAATTATATTTATATTTGAAAAATAATGTAGCAGTGACAATGATACTGTAACTATAGGAACGTAAATGACAGCAGGAAATTAAAGTGCTTGTATGATTTTATGTTATTGAAAAATTTGTAAACATACATATATGAATGTTTATATGACGTATATTTTTGTATATGTGCACCTGTCAAACTACCTTGTCACTGCTCTTCCGTTACTAATTGAATTTAAAAATTCTCTTATTTAGCATCATTTTCATAATGTTCAGTGTTGAAGGTTCTAATCAATTACGTTTGGATGAACAGATGATATAGTAATGATAACAGCGATGACAAAAACGTTGATAACGATGATATTACAAAGTCACGATAATAAGTTTGATATCATGTTTATTCACTTGCGTATAGTCGTGTGTATGTGCATATATGTGTGTGTGTGTGTGTGTGTATGTGTATGTGTGTGTGTGTGTGTGTGCCTATGTCTGTATGTGTGTATGTGCGTATGCGTGCGTATATGTGTGTATGTATATATGTGTATATGCATCTATCTGTAGGTCCGTATGTCTGTATGCGCCAAGATAGCGACCCAATATACGACCGGTTTTTTCCGATTTCTTCCTTCTTTCAATGATGCAAAAAAAAAAAGAAAAAGTAAGCAATCTGTATACGTATATTTGCATTTGTATACGTATACGTCAAAGTTACGCAATCAATAGTAATCAAGCATACGTATTTGACTAATGTGTGTCTTAATGAGCAAAAATTCTTTTTTACTAATTAAAATTAGAGATGATTAAATAGACTGAGAAGAACAAATTTCTATTATCATAACTATTTGCTCTAAAATATTAGCAATAATATTCAATAAAGAATTAGTCGAAATAAAAATGATTAAAATAAAAATACCTGATATACATACATATATATGATGGTTTTTTATCAAATATAATAAAATTTTTGGAATTCCTAGACAAAATCATTGTGTTATTATGAACAATCACTGTGAAAATTTTTATAAAACACAACAAATTTTTTTTCTTCGCTTTACAATACAAAGCATCTAAAAGTGATATATATATATATGAAAAGTGATTAATTATATCATACTGTCATCATTAACCGAATGTACAGTATCAAATTACGAAATGCTACCACAGTATCTTACTGTAACTATATTATTTCCATTTTTTCCTTTTCAATTTATTGAATTTTATAAATTATTCCGTAATTACAAAAAAAAAAAAAAACACTATTATTATTATTATCTTTTTTTTTTGGCATACCTTTTATTGCAAATAGTTTCAATGATTTTTTATCTTTGAGAAAGCTTTCCACCTTTCTATATCTGCTTCATTTTTGCTTTTTTCGTGTTAGTAATAAATTAAAATGTAAAAATAATAAATTACAATGTCAAGATGAGATTAGACAATTGATTTCTTATTTATCTATTTTTTTTTTTTTTTTAATATAGTTTGTAATTTCTTCCTTTTTTGATTAAAAATCTTTCTTTGTTATACAATTTCTCTTCTTTAGTCTATCAAGAAGTAGATAATAGAAGTTAAATAAAACAAATAGTTATTTCTTTCGTAAAATAATTATAACAAATCTCTTACCAAAAAAAAAAATTGTGTAGAAAAGGGAAAAAAATTCTTAGTATTATAATTTAAACAAAAACGAGTTATTTGTTTAAAATAATAGTGCGTAATTGTCGAAATCGACTAACATTCCACTATGTGAATATAATCGTTGTTCAACTGAATGGAAAAAAAAGTTTGAAAGTTTTTAATTAAAAGAAATGGAAGAAAATGGAACTACGTATGAGTTGAATGATCCGATTTTCAATGTGACAGAAAAAAATAGAATGATAGTGTACGTAACTGTGAAGTTAATTGTAAAATTTCAGTCAAAGTTCAAATTATCATTTTTCTCTATTAGGCAACGCTTTTTCATCATCAATATATCACTCTTTCATTCTTTTTCATTCCATAGAAAGTTAAAAGAGTAAATGTATCCATAATAATTTCACTTTATATTATTAATATTGAAATGAAATATTTCACCTTTTTTTTCCCTTTTTTACAATAAGATAATGTGAAAAGGAAGAAAATGCGGAATAAATTTTAGAAGAAAAAAAAGGAGTAAAAAATTTTAAATATAAAAAATAGAATTTGCTCTTTTTTCATTTTGAAAATTATAAATAAATAATTTCAGATTTTACAATTTCAAAATTTCATCAACAGTAAACCTTTGAGCTTTAATTGGCAAAAAAAAAAAAAAAAAAAATGCAAATTATTAAAATATAAGACAATTAGAACACAATTAAATTTATAGCAACAATTCAACGCAAACATTTTGCCTTTTTTCCTGGTTACAGAATTTTTGAAATTAATCTTTAAGCGTAACTTTTATTGCTAAGTTATATAAAAAGGTACAAAAAACGGATTGAATATTTCGCTTTTGAAATTTTTGAATTACTCTGTGGAAAAAAAAAAAAAAAAAAAAAAAAAAAAAACGAAAAAAAAATGACAGCAATAGAGTAAAATATAAACTTTTTGAAGCCAATTTTCTTACGAAATGTTCAATTTCACACTTAAATATTACATTACTTCCATAAAACTAATTCTCAAAGGCAAAAATTCAATTGAAATGGTAATATATGTAATTTAATGATGATTCTTTTTAAAACTGTTGTTGATTGATAATTTGAAAATAACGGGTCATTATATTTGTTCGCATGTGTGACGTATGATGTAATGATTGATTTCGTTTTGCTTTTTTTTTTTCTTTCTTTAAAAAATATAAATAAAAAAACAGTTTGAAAGTTGAGAAGGTACAACTTTCTGAATAAGTAAAAATCAATGACTGTAGTGTTTAACGATCAAAAAAAGGTACAATTTTTGATCAGCTCTTACACTGAACCGATTATGCTATGCGACAGTTATAATAAATGCGATCAAAATTCGAGAAAAACTAATTAATCAATTTAAATATTTTTTTTCACTTTCTTTTTTACATTTTTTCTAAACAACAAATTAACGTCATGCTATCTAAATCTAAAATGATATAATTCAACATATATTCTAATGATGATACATCATCAAAACACAAACAAAAACAAAACAAACATATTATCAGATACTGATACTAAACAAAACTATTAGCATTAAAATGCTTATAATGTATTAAACATAGCATCTCAGTATAGGTCGTACTAGTTTATTCATATAAATATAGATTGTGTTACATATTTTTTTAATCATTCGATGAATTACCATTACAATATTTCTGATTAACTTATTCTGATGTGGCATATTTGTTTTACATCTCCGGAATTTCGTTTTCACTTTCTGCATTTATACCAATTATTTCATTTAAGAATATCGAAAAAAAAAAATAGCAAAAGAAAATAAAGAAGAAAAAACAAACATTCCAGTTTCTGAAACAAAAAATCCGGTATATATGTTTTTTTTTTTTTCAGACATGATTTAAAACGAAAAAAATTACTAGTGTTGCAAAATTTATATGTAACAATAATTAATTTTAATTTAAAATTTAATCTATATCTTCATTTTTTACAGTTCTTTTCCTTCTACAATTTTTTTTTTTGGCACTTTAATTTTAAAAGACAGTAGTATTATCAATAACTTTTTCCATGATTATTTGACATTATTTTAGAAAATAAATAATGATCATGCATATAGTTCTATGTTTCTACTTTAAGAGATAAATGAATCGCTAATGTTATAAATTAATTAGCACAGAATGAAGATGACGAGGCGGAAGAAGAACTAACCGTTTCTCTTTAACAAATTGTTGTCTTCCAGTTTTTTCATTTTTAATTTTCAATTTTTATTTTTCCTGTTTCTGTTTCTTTTCCTTTTTTTTTTCGCTTTGCCTGAAGCAATTTTTCTTTCTTTTCTTTTTCTTTCGTTCTTACATTCATTTATATAGGTAAATTTTATCCTTCAAATCAAATTTTCGGAAGCATTTCAAATTTTGAAAAGTAAAAGCAATGAAGATGAAAGTTAAAATTTTTAATTGCATAAATGTCTCATGTAATTTAGGCGTATCCTTTAAATATAGTAAATAAATTTAATAGTACTAAGAGAAATTTAAATGAAACCAAATTTTTTCAAGTATTGCTTTAAGATATTATTACCTTCAAATATTAGCAATCAATAGCAAATGAATGTTTTTCTTAATAATTATACATCAATAAAAAAGTGAAAATTTGAGGAATTATTCTCCTCTATTTTTTTTTCATTTTTGTTTCTTATGTTTCTCGAAAATTTTTGAATAAAATACAAAATTTTTTGAATACCACAAAAATTATTTCTCATAAAAAAATTCATGCAAAACTGCTAATTTTCAATTTTTTTCAAATCAACAATTCAGCATTTGCAAGCATTGTTGAGTCAAAATTCTTGCATATATTACAATAAAAAGTTAAAAATGCAATGAACTTATAGAATTCCATTATTAAGTCATTGTATTTTTTTTTTACTTTCATATTTTGATTATAAACAGTAAATTTCTAACGACTGTTTTGAAATTCCAAAAATTTTTATAATTCAAATATAATAGATGATTAAAATATAAAACATTATATAATGATTATAATGCAGTGCATTGCTTCTCATGGTTCTAAATTCGTATTTGAAACAAATATTTGCATATGTGAATGCAAACGAACCTCAGGTCGTGACATCAGGCCGCTGCCACATAATATGATTCAGCTAATTGCAGTACATTGTGATTCAT